AGTGATCAGTAGATAGATATAGACAACAGACATAAGTAGATGACAGATATAGCTAGATAGGTAGGTATATAGACAAGATGATAGGATGACAGAGAGCGATAGATAAAATAGGTAATGATGAAGATAGATGATAGATGGATGAATGAACAAAGAAAACAGAACAGTGAGGAGAGTTGGGATAGTGTGGGGTGAGCATGTGGATGTGTGCGTTTCTGTATTTTTCCAATCAGGAGCAAGATTTCTGCTTTGGTTAAACAGGAGCTCTATCTAGCCTTGCTTATTTTATTCCCCTTGTCTATGCTAGTACACTCTGAGGTCTCTTGACCTCAGATGCGTCCTCAGTTCTCAACTGTATCCCAACTAAATGGGATGGAGTTTCACTGGATGGAAGAGATAAGCTATAGAAGCTTGTCACTTCAGAAGTGTCCTGTACATCCTGGCTTCCCATGGCTTTATCCTAATCCTTTTTTTAAGCACCAGAAAGAATAAAAAGGAGAGCAGAAAATCAGGAGCCCATTTCTGCCTTTCAATATGCAATATATGACTCATCAACTTCCCTTCTATAAATGTTGCTCTCCCTTACCTTCTGAACTCATGCTACCAAAAAGCAACATGTAAAACACAGGTCATGTCGACTGCAGATCAAATCCAATTACTAAGCAACTACTGCTGAATACACCTGAAAGGGATGGGAATGACATGAGAAGGGACTCCTGAAGATTCCCTACTTAAAATGACAGGCTTCTCTTTTTTGCTAAAAACAGAAGGCACGAACTGGCAGAAGAGGCAAATTTTTGAGAAAAATCTATGATGCTTCTCTGTAAATCACCCTGGGATACTGTCCCCATGGCCTTTAAAGTATCTATAAATATAGTCTCTGTCATTTTTCCCAAGTGAATGTTTCATTTTTGCCAGTAGCACTTGGTCAGTCTTCCATTTTCATCATGAATCTGTATCAGAATCTGACATATTCATTCCAGGTCACACTGCCACTAGTAGGTACATATTCTACTCTCTTTTATCTCTGTTGCCTTTGGTGGCTGACTCATTTGCTCTTTCACACACATGAGCACACACACACACAAAGCCTGATATCCCATATATAGATTACATATCCCAGATCTGGTGATTCATGAGCTAGCATGTCAACTATTAAGCAAAAATTTCCTGAACACCTTTGTAAAATATGCTGGGAACAAGATGTCAATGAGACTCTTGGTTGTATAATGCTAACCATCTCACGATACTTCATAGATATGTAGTTTATATTTTGGGGGAATCCCTGAAAGTTATGGGGTTGGAAAGATTTGGGATAGTAAAGAAGAGTCCCTACTTTGGGATTTGGGACAATGATCCTACTGATTAGATTTATGATAAATACCATCACCACTGTCTATACCTAACCCTACTTTGGGATTTGTTGCAATGATCCTACTGATTGGATTTATGATAAACACCATCACCACTGTCTATACCTAATATGTCCCACCCACCATGCAAACTGGACCTAGCCACCCTATTAAATGCCACAGCACATGAGAGACCAAAGTCCGGCCTAACCTGCCCTTCAGTGCCACAGGTTGCTCTGTTCTGAGTTTGTTTATGGGGATGCTCAGACCTCCTCTCACTGCCAAAGCCCACTTGCATCTAAGACCCAGGCAGCAAGGAGAGCTGTATAAACAATCATGTTTGGCAGAACCTTCCTCCTCTCCCAAAACTCAGAGCTCAGCACACCCCTACTCAGTCTGGGATTAACCTTTCCAAAAACTACTCTGTGTGCACACTCAGAGACACTACCTGGTTCTAGCAGACCTGACAGTGGGAAAACAGCTAGCATTTCACATTTTCTAAGGATACAAAAGTGTTAAAACTTCTGATACACTGATGGCCCAGGGAAGCATCATGCTCTGTCTTCGCTTTGCTTCAATCACCTTGTTCTCTTTAAGCAAAATGAAATTTGAAGACACACGGAGGTTCTGGTGCGGAGGGAAGGATATTAGCATAAATATTGGCTTGGCAAAACTTACATGTTTCTGGCACTCATAGAACTGAACTGCTTGCTTTTTTCCCCTTACTTTCTTCCTGCCACATGCATTTTCTGAACATCAGCAAAAAAACTAGTTTTATCATCAGAAAAGTGCTCTGGCCTGGCTTTTTAATTTGGCTGCTGCCCTCTATCAGAGAATTGATCAGGGATAACTCATTTGGACTCAAGAAAAAGAAAAAAAAACAAACATTTAGTCAAGTAAAATAGCCAACCCCTAAAAAGTGTCTAAAGCTAAGGTCAATCTTATTTGTTAACAAGCTGGCAGATAACAGGGGTCTCGTTTCAACAACTGGAAAGTTCCACATGAAGCAGGCTTACAGGCAGCTTCAGAGAAATCCACCAGTTTGCCATGTTTTTGTCAGTTTTTGTGTTCCTTCCTATCACTTGCAACAAAAACAGGCACAAATATGGGCAGAGAGCAAGACCAAAGCAAAACTCTATTCACAGGCTGAGAGCTGTGGCAGACTGAAGAAAGTCAATTCTCACCCTAGGCGCCTATTGCATATTGTGAAAATTCTTACGGGTAAACCTGGCTAGGTTTCTTTTAGATTGCGTTGAAGTCTGCAGAGATTTATATCCCATGCCAATGTGCATAGCTGGAGTAACCCACGGTCCTCCTGCTTTCCCATGTCTCTGGAGCTGTTCCAGAGCACGCTGCTGTCCCCCTCGATCACCATTTTCCTTTAGCTGCAAATGTTCATCTATGGAAATCTACTCACCAGGCTGGTAAGCAAGATGCAAATCTGATTTTGAGACATAAATGCCCAAACAGTATTAAGGTGAGCTATTTCAGGTGACAGGAGTTTCAACCTCTTGCTAAATGCAACTATATGCAAAGAGCCCAGACAAGGTTCTCAATACGGACTTGGACTCTGCCTGTGTTCATCCTTCATGTCTTCATATATACGGGGCCATAAGCATCCTTACCTCTTTTCACTCCCTGCATCCCCAGCACTATCAATACTTTGGCTTTATATGCACTTTCCCTCCACCTGAGGCACAGCCCCACAGACTGTGTGCTGCTCTTATGCTCTCACAGCATCTGTGCCAGCCCTGCCATGGCACAGGTGATGTACCTGGTCATGTTCCATTTACCTGATCATCTTTCCCACTCAACTGGGAGCTCATGAAGGGCTGGAACCAAGACCTGTTAAACAGTCTACATGTTCAAGGCTCCTGAATAAATAAGCACAACAATAATCTGACTGATTTCTTACAGGTTTCTTCTAAATTGTAATCCCCACTCATTGTCTAAGACAGATGCCCCTCCTACATTTATGAAAGTCCTTAATTATGAACACTGCCAATGGCCTAGGAAAACAGTACCCTTGGACTCTGCTTCAAGTGCTTCCTTCTCTTTAAATAAAATGGCATTTGGAGCCACACCCAGATTCTTGTGTTGCAGGGAAAGTGTGAGCCAGTGTCTCTCTGAGGGCTTCCCATCATTCAGGGCTTCACATTCAGGCTGTTTAGATGCCAAAAGCCCTTCACAAGCCCATCTACTCTACTCAGTCCTTTCTTACATGGAAGCATCAGACAAGTCAGATCTGTTTTCCTTTTGAAATGCACTCATGTGACTCTAAGAAATGTATCATTAAGTTTTTTAGTTATTGTGCAAACATCACAGAATGTACTTATACAAGCCTAAATGGAAGCTTAACTGCACACCTAGACTAGGTAAAACAGCCTACTATAACCTCGGGGGACACTGTCATATATATGGCCCATCACTGACCAAAATGTCATTCATTATCCAGCATTTGACTGCATAACATACCCTTTTATACCTATGAAGGGGCTTCGAAAAGTTCAAAGAAAAATGGAATTAAAGTACAAATTAATTTTGATGCAAAAAAAATAATTCCATGCAGAGTTTCGCAAAACTGTATTTAAATGAATTTCTTCATTCATGATAGAACACATGAGTGCACACGTGAGAATGAGAGAGAAACGAGCACCCTCCACAGATTTGGTCATGCTGCATCCACGACCTCCAGTCTTCAGCCCATTGAACCTTGGGCACTCGCACATGTGCCTAGCATGTTTCAAACTGACCAGGCAGGGGATTCAAACTGTGGTTGCCATCTGGGATCTGCTTTTTCTTGAGCAGTGCATTACTGCTACACCAAAGAGCTGACCCCATAATTTTTCAATAATACACATTTTCCATGAGCTTTTGGAAGACCCCTTTTATTATTTATCCCCAGCCTAAATTCCAACATCCCAGCCATACTTGACTTCCTTTGCCAGAATACACCGTTGGAATATATGTAGGTAGGTAGTTAGGTGTGTGTATGTGTGTGTGTGCGTGCGCACGTGCGTGCACCACAACAGACAGAAAAACCTAACCTCGACATCATCAGGATTCATCTCTATCTGTACGTCATCCTTTGAAGGCAGAAGAGAAATGGAAAATATCAAAGTGATGAGTGACCAAAGTTTTCCTCAGACTTGGGTCATAACACAAACCTCCTATACATATCTGGACACCTGGAGACCACTGAAATATATAGCCTTACCTCAGATATGCCAGCCCCAGGTGCTGTGGAGGGATGGAATAAATAGATGCCAGCCCAACCAGTCTGAGAGGCACTACTCTCAACCATCTGCCGTTTCTTTTGCCCTTCTGTGCTGGTTTACCTCCTTGAGAAATTTTGACTCCTCAGCCATAAGCCCTCATGCCACACACAATTATTTCTCTGTCTTCTCAAAGCAGTTTATTCAAGACAAGTGCAACATTTCTCCCCAACTCATAGAGGGAGTGTATGTCCCTCTGGTTAGACAGTGAGTCTCTCGTGGGCAGGAACATCATTTTCCCATCTCTCTCTCCAGCTGCCAGCCCCCAAGATTGAGAGAAAGGAGATACTGATTGATTCAAATGTCTAAAACTTCCATCTTAAACTGTTCCTGTAGCTTCCAGATCCTTGAAATCAGCTGAGATTATATGCATTACCTCTTTAAGAACCAGCACACATTTGCCTGGTCCCACTGACTGAGGTAGCTCTGCAATCCTTCCTTTGTTCAGGTAAGGGCCTGAGAAACATCTGTGGTTGATGAAAAGCTGAGGACAGCAGTACTTCCCGTTGGCAGTTCCTGTGGGAAAGGAAAGCATAACTGATGCTTAGGGCCACAGCTCCAAACGTTGGAGATCCACAAATACCTGTTTAAACCACTTACTTGACAAAACTACCTCACAGAGCTATCTCATGTCTTGATGAATGGGAATCTGGAGTTATAGAAAAATAGACCCAAAGTGAACACACCAACATGAAGGTCAGTGTCAATGTCATTAGACTTCTAATGAGGAGACTTCACTTTGTTTCCAAATTGTGACATAGTAGTAGAGAAAAACAGATGATTTTCTTTTTCTTATTTTTCTTTCTTTTTTTTTTTTGAGAAAGATGAACTAAGTCCTAATATCAGGACATTTTCTATTCCTAAAACTATCTTAGAAATTCTGATTATATTCCCATCATAGAAATAAATATTTTTGTTTATTATATATGCAGCATTTAAGACACACAAAAAATATAGAGAGACAGAGACACTGTTATCACTCTGCAGCTTGGAAACAAGCACACCAACAACACAGTTAAGATCGCTGTGTATCCTAGTCACCTCTCCCCACGTGCCTCCCATGGTGGACATCACTCTTTATTTATCATACCCGTGCAAAACTATAAACTTTATCATACATTTATGGGTGTATACCTGGAAGCAAAATATATTTTGGACATTTACAAAAACAGTCCATAAGTGGTTTTCTGAAAAATTTTGTTTGTTCACTTAAGATGAAGTTTCTAAGAGTCATCTAAGTTGATAAATGGGTATCTAGAACACTCATTCATTTTTCACTTCTATATATTACTCCTTTATATGAATACACCATACTTTCATCACCTAAACTCTTATTGATGGATAGTCAGTTGTTTCTACTTTTTCAGTATTGCCAACAGTGTTTAATGAATATGGCTGTAAAAATCTACTCCTGCATATGAGCAAGAGATTCCTGCCAGCATCTAGCAAGAGTAGAATTGGTCAGTCACAGGAATATAAATCTCCGGTTTTATTACACAAGGCCAAAGTAGCCTCCACCATGAGGATCCCAACATATTCCTATCAGGATTGTGGAAACGATCCTGTTGTCGGATGACCAAGACAAAATTAGATACTATTAGACTTCTCCATTTTGCCAATCTAGTGGAAGTGAAATGGGAGTACCTTATTGTGGCTAAAATGTTCATTACCCTTATTAGTCTTTCAATGTAGAAAGTAAACCAGGCAAGTTGTCAGTCTTGCTGTATCTTAAGGTGCCATAGGTCAAAAGTAGAATTATTAAATGACAAGATTTCATTGTAAAATTTCTCGATGTCTATAAATAGAATAAGGGTTCATTTTTGGCTAAGGAACTCTCTATTCCCACCCTGCACTACCCCTGAGCCAAGCTAAGCTACACCAGCAATGATATTTCTATATAAATCCTGTAATTAATTTGAGATGTAAGTTAACAATCTAGGTACACTTATTCTTATAAGGACTTCTATTAAGCACCAATAGATAAAGCAGTAGAAATGTTACTCTTCAGAATATGCCAAAAAAAGATTAAAATAACAATTATAGACTGTTACAGGGTAGATGACATGGTTCTTTTGAAATTATTCTGAGGTTTAAATTCTATACCACAAGAAAAATCACTAAGTCCACAGATGCATTTACATGGAACATTTTTGGTAAGATTACCCTGCCCAGACCTTTAGGAAAAAAAAAAATTATGTTAAGTCTACTCATAAAATTGCTCTCTTTACTACAAAGATAACTTCAACTAATAGAAATTCTTCCGTAGGTTTTAATCTTGGAATTCAGAGGTTTAATTTTGGCTTAGAAAACAGAATTTTAAATAAAGTATTACTTAATGTATAAACATGCTTATTATCAGATTTAGTGGTCAAAGGGTAGCTCACAATTGTATTTTCAGAGGTTATTTTAAGTTGTAAGACTTTACACACTAAAAAACACATTTATTGTTCATAGCCAGCCATTCAAACACATGTGGTTTTTAAGGAACAATTAAAAAGCCAGCAAGAAGTTAAGTATTAACTGCTAATGTAAAAATGCAAGTGAAACTGACATAAAATGTCAAAAAAAGGATGCCTAATGATGATCTTTCAACTTTTTCTGCGTTTTAGTCTATTTACTCATAATTTCTAAGAAGCACAGGGACCTGTTTTCTGCAGACCAGGAGAATTATCTAGAGCTACTGGTCAAGAAACAGAAGAAGTACAAACAGTTTAGCTTAGGAAAAAAAAAAAAACTTAAGTATCAATTTATAGCAGCAGCGGAAAAGAGAATAGGTTCAACATTGCAATATATTAATATTTATCTAAAAATACATACATGTTCCCTTCACAGTTTGGAGAGGGACAATAAGCACAATGGAACTCACTCACCTGTAGTGTCCAAGTGAGGGAATAAACAAAGGTCATGAGGTATTTTCTTAACAGGCACTGTGGATGGCAATCTGTTGATAAAGAACATTGAACTATCACTGGTCACAAACTTCAGAAGAAACTATTATATTCCAAGTCTTTTCATAATTTAAAGTGACTATTCCAGAAATTTAAGAGCATCCTAAGACTGAATGTGTGTATACGTGCAATGCTTGTAATACCAGATAAAATAATTATTTCAGAAAAGCTGTCCATAAATTCCTTTGATGATCCTAAAAAACCTATGGAGGGGCAGCAAGTGGTGTGGGGATTAAGGCTCTAGATTCCCACATAGCTAACCATGGCTTGAGTCCCAGATCCAGTTGCCTGAAAAATCACACCAGGCATGTGTGCATGCGTGACCAAATCTCAAGAGGAGAAGGGACTGCAACATGATCATCTCACTCCCCACCCCGGGGGGTATTTCTCACTTTCCTTCTCTCTGTCTCTCTCTGCCCCTCTTCAGAGAGCACACATGTCCTATGGCAAAAATCTAAAACAAAAACAAAAGAAAAAGCAAAAAAGAAGCCTGTGGAACATCTGCCCCTGAGTGGCCATCACTGATCAATTTCTTCTAGGTTGCTGCTGGGTTGGTCTCCTGTTCTAGAACTGTAATAGTGTCTTCCATTATATTTTAGACATGAAGAAACACTATCTTTTAGTTAATTAAGGTGAGACTTTTCTACTTCGCTGCTTAATTGAAAACCACTTTCTGCTAACCCTTGATTTCTGACCTCTATGCTGTGGAATATGGTCAGACTAATAAGATGATATTATCAAAAAAACCTTATTACTGGTGACCCTTAAAATGTGAAGTGGGCTTATCCCAAGACAGAGCTCTGTTATAATTCGATAAAAAAATTTAAAAAATAACTTGCTGGATAAATATTTTCTTTTACAATGTCTTCTTTTTCTTTTTTTAAAAATTTATTCTTATTTAAATTTATTTGTTTACGTTCATTCACTGTACATCATTACAGCATACAAAATGGGATTTTCCATCCAGAGTACACTGTATATTGTCTCAATCAAGCACATCAACATACATGTTATTGTCAACAAATAATTTTCCATTTCTTTTTTCCTGTGTGTTTTGCTTCCCCCCCATCCTTGATTTCCTATCTCTTACCCTCTGCCATCTCCCACTCTCCTCCCACACTGTCTCTGGTATCTATGTTGCTTTCTATACTGTCTCCCCCCCTCCACAAACACACATTTTATTGAATTACTAAAGACCTTAATTAATAGCAAACACAGCTGATATATACATTTCCATGAACACAAGTCTAACTTTACACATCCTATTAAGTAGCACCTAGCTGGGGCTATATTTCTTACTGCAGTCATTGAATAGATATTTTTTTTCTGAAACATTTTTTTGTAACTTAATTTACATACTTTCCCTAAGCATCATCACAGCATACAAAATGTGATTTCCCATCCAGAATATACTGCATAGTGACTTAATCATGCATATTATTATCCAAAAAAATTTTTTTTAAAGGTGGCCTTAGAAGGCAGAGGTGAATTGATTTTCTCAAAGGTATCCAGGTTGACTACATAGAAACCACATAGGTAAAAAACTACATATGAGGGTTCTTTAAAAAACCCTTGGAAAATGCACATTATGAAAAAACTATACTTGGATTTTAATTCTTTTCCACCAAAATAAACTTATTCCTCAATTCCATTTTTTTCCATGAACTTTTGGAAGTCCTCTCATAAACTATTATAAGAAACCTTAGTGGCGTCATCTATAGCCAGGGTTCTCAGAGTACAGCCCGCCAACCCACAGCGTCAATTGCACCTGAGAACTTAGAAATGCAGAGTCTCAGGCCCTGCCCCAGATATCTTGAATCAAACATTTTAAGAACGGAATCTAGCAAGCTGTGGTTTCATAAACTCTCTAGGTAGCTGACACATGTAAAAACTGAGACCATTAATCCATGGACTGCAAATTCAGAAAGTTCACCGGGAGGATGAATTCGAATTGGGATTCAATCATGGGTCTATTATTAATCTCTCTCCTTCAGTTATGTAGATAAGATTAAGTCAGGTGACTACCTTGATATTATTGTGTTTAAAAATGAATACACAAAAAATACCCATAAAACTGTTACTTTCATTCAGAAAACAAGGCAGTTATTGTTCAATTTCATTTCATTTAAATTTAAACCTGAGTGCACAAGAAATGCGGTTTTCAGTTCTGGTTCCAACCATGTATTTTTATTTACTTAAGAAAACAGAATCACTTGGCATGAAATGATTTTAGCCTATTTTAAATATTTTTCAGTATATTAAAATGCTAACAATAGTTACAAGCTTTGAAAACACACTGCCTGCATGTACACACACTGTCCTACACCTTGTCTTTCCTCATAAAATTACAATTCAAATGGGGGTGACCTTTATTTATTTCATAATCTAAGACCCACAGTTTCTTTTTTTTTTTTTAACATGGAATATAATTTATAAAAACCCTGAGAAATAGGTATTTACAAACAAGGACATTGAGATGCAGAGAAGAAAAGCAATTTGCTTCAGTTCACCAAGCTGGAAGTAGCAGAATTGGAGAGGAACTTAAGTTTTCCACCTCTCTGGCCTGCCATGATGAGAGGTGAATAAGGACAGCATTTGGGATGGGGACAAAGCTGCTCATCAGAACTTGTCATGCAAGGCCACAGGGAGCATTAAAAATCGCTAGCATCGGCACAGTGGTAATGTAGCACCCTGTAATGCTAGACTCACATATATATTGAGGTTCAGTTTCTAGGTTGACCTGTAGGCACTGCGTGTGACTGCCCATGGGGTTTGGTTTCTAGGCTGACCTGTAGGCACTGCGTGTGACTGCCCATGATCCTGGTCACTGGGAGGGCTCGAGGTCAGATCACAGTATGAGACCTTATTGAGGGAGCTTGTCTTCTCTTGTCTCTCTCTCATATTACAAATAAATAAATAAACTTTAAAAATATATAAAGAATTGCTAGCCTAGAATGTGATTACTACCAGTGTGTAAGTGTGGGATTTTCTTCAGGTAGGCTGAGGTGGAATAAAAGGTGAGCCAGGATCATCTGGACTTGAAGTTTCTTTGGAAGCAGGCACTGCATCTTGTACATGATGGGTGCACGATAAATAACAGAGCTATATTTTACTGTCACCTTCCCTAGTGTGCTCTTCGTTGCCTAACATTCTAATAAAAACATCTTGGCTTCTCTATCCTTTATAAAGACCCTCTACAGTTTGTCATATAGTTTTACAAGGAAAAAAAAAAAGAACACATACTGTTTTTCCGGTTGTACAACTGCAATCTTTCTCTTCTTTTGTGCTATAAAGCAGGCAAAAGGGAAAATTAAAAAATCAGTTTGCATCAAAAAAAGACCCAGTGTAAAAAAAAAAGTACCCATTTTAAAGTAATTTAAATACTAACATGTTATTTCACTCATGCCACAATTTTATATAAGTTTCTTCTAGCATAAAATAGACTTGGTCTCATCAGACATGAGATCTTAATAGAACTTAGAATGTTTAATCTTATCACTATATTAGCCACTTTATTTTACATTGTGCTTTTAATAAGAAAAAGAGAACACATATTTTACCTTGCATAAATGCACGGGTTAAGATAAATTGTTGCAAGTACAATTATCTAAAATTATTTTTCCCCATAGAAAATTTGATAAGGCAAGTGTTACCCCAACAGCACACTCCCAAATTAAGATAAGAGGCATGCATTTAAACTAAAACATTTCATTAGCAGAAGAAGAATTGGTGGCTAACAAATATGTCTAGTCAAATATTGAAATAAACCAGAAAATGATTTTCTGGTTAAGAACATTTCCAATTTATATTTATAATTGATTAGAATTACCTTAACAAAAATAAACCAGAACTTTTGTCACCTATTAATTTTGGCTCAGATAACTCTACATCTTCCAACAGAACCATAAATTACTCCCAACAAAACTTTTAAAGATGTGAGAGTCTGGTGAATTTAGAGTTAGTCTGCCTCTACAGAGACAGTGTGGGAGAAGGGTGGGAAATAGCAGAGAGTGAGGGTGAGGGAATCAAGGAGGGAGAAAAAAAAAGAAGTAAAATATATGAGAAATAAAAAAGAAAGAAAAGGAAGGAAGGAAGGAAGGAGGGAAGGAAGGAAGGAAGAGAGAAAAAAAAAGGAGAGGGGAGGAATGGAAAGGAAAAGAAAAGAAAAGAAAAACAAACGATGAAAGCAAGAATCAATAAGAGAAAGACTCAATAAAATTTTGCCCACTCTTGACTTTGTGTGGTACTTAATTCCAGTTATTACTTTAAAATGTATAAACTGTATCATCTCCAAGATGAAAAATGAGTGGAGAACAACTTGTTTCACTCAGTCTCTGTTACTAAGGGTGAGAAGGCGCGAATCATACAATATTCCGGCAAAGAGCCAAGCACAACAGACTTGTACAAAGTCAAGAGGAAACATCATGTTGTCCATCTTAACCCACATGTGATTGTGCTCCAGAAAACACAAACGCTTGTAGCCCCCCAAGTCCATGTGAAGGAGGGAGATGAGGGTGCTGGATACTCCATTCTATCTGGGGGACAAGAACAAAGGGGACTGAGTCCTAGCCCCAAAACAGAACCCAGGGAACTCCTGACTACTGGCCATGATGCTAAGCTAGTTAAGAATAATTACATTAAATGAGGGGATGAGCTGAATGCCCCTGAGATTTAAGTAATTATTTTAAGCTCAAAGTTTAAGAAATATCTTAGGTCCAGCCAATGATAGTTGAAGCAGCTGGATCCCAAAAGGCCAACTGTGCATTTGGAGTCCCAGACATGGAGCCTTGGAAAACACACTGGTCATGTGTGCATATGTGCCCAAAATCCTGAAAGGAGGGAGAATTGGAGGAGAAGAGATTGTGACATGAACACCCCCTTAGGAGGTGCTTTTGCATTTTTCTTTCTTTTCCTGGTGCGCTCGCTCTCTCTCTCTCTCTCTCTCTCTCTCTCTCTCTCTCTCTCTCTCTCTCTCTGCTGAGTGCACACATCCTCTGGCAAAAAGAAAAAAAATTAAACTTTTTTTTTAAGTGAAAAAGACACTACCCTAATTGGATCGGACTCACTAAGCAGGATGATGAAAGGGAGAAAAGAATCCCTTAAAGATCCACTTCTGTCTATAATCTGGACCACCTACTCTGTTCTTCACAAATAAGGTCCTCTACTACTCTTAATGCAAACTGAGAAGCGAGACTCTTCAAAATCTGGTGACATGAGGGAATGTGAAGTTAACTTTGTGATGAGACTTTGCTCGTAGTAATGTTCTGAAAATTTACAGAAGTGCAGCAAAGAACAAGTTGCTAGAAAGAAGTAAAGCTGATATATAAAGTCCATAAAGAAAATATTAGAAATATAATCTCCCTAATAAAAAAATTAAAACTGATTATTTTTAGAGGCCCATAATTCAAAATTATATTATATATATATGAGGGTGGAAAGACTTAGTAGATTTAAAGATTTTTAAATGATACAATTTCAAAATAATGACCTACAATAATATATGTTAAAACACACTGCTGCACATATTTAACTGTATGCACACATGGGTGTATATATGTGTGTGTTGTGTTGCTGAATTATGCAATTACTAATACTAGTTTTATTCGGTATTTCTGTGATCAAAAGAATGTAAGCTAATAATACATTTTAAAGTATAGTCAAAATCTCACCCATTACCTAGTGCTAAGTGTAGTGTTAAGTTGTTAGTAAATTATTGGGGCAAATTCTGATTCCTTTAGGGGAAACTTTATGAGAAAAATGAGCTCTTTCTCAGAAATGATTAGCAACATATAGTATATGGGAAAATATAGTATCTAATTAAAAAATGTCCCATCAAAACAACAAATTGTATATAAAACTGGGAGTAAAGATTTCAGACTTCTTTTTCCTGCCTCTCTCTGTGGCCTTCAAATGAGTCTGTACTATGACTTAGTTAATCAGTCTGCAAAATGCCTCCCAATACTCATGTCATGCAGGTACTTCAAGGATAACAGAGATAACAAACAAACTTGTTAGTGCTCTGTAGAATATCCCAAACCTTTTTTGTTTCTTACCACTCAGCTCTACTTTCTTTTAAAAACTGCCTATTTATTCACCAAAACCACCACCCCCTCACCTGGGAAACACTTACAGACTGTTTTGTGTGGTGTCGTCAAAGGATAAGAATTCGCTTCACACCAGCCCACTGGGAAGATATCCATGGATTCAACATCAACAATGACCTCGGGAACTGGCGTCTGCAGACCTGCATTGGAAGAAGCCGAGACAACAAGTACTAACGGGTTTTATCAACAAAGAAACAGCAGAAAACAAAAATGATCTTACATCCCTAAGACTGTGAAAAACATTCCTCAGGATAAAAAAAAAAAACTTAATGAACACTGAGAGTATGAAAGATAGGACCTTAAAGGGAGTCCTTAGTCTTAGGAGGAATACAAGGACCTGAAGTATGAAACAGCAAGAAGAAGATAAGGGGAACGGGGGAATTCAAGTCAGTGGGGGGCTGGGAAAAGAGAGTCACTTCTCCCTGAAAATAGAGAAAGGAAAGAACCTAGGAGAGATGGGCATCTGCGCCAAGGATCTTAGAAGAGAGAGCAAGAACAGACAGTTCCCCACTTACGATAGGCTTATCAAGACATAACCCCATCCTAAATTGAGAAGCATCTGTACCCTCCTTTCCTAAGAACAGCTTTGATATCAATCACATATTGTGAGATCGGAGGCAGACGCCACAGGCCCACCTCTAAGCCGCCATGAAGTGCTTCAGCCAACACCAAGCAAAGACCTACCTTCAGCTAAAGAATGTCAAATATTGTCTCTAAAAGGAACTAGTAAAACCCAGTAACACTAAATATGAGTGGTGCACATACAGACGAGGTCATTTCTCTAGGGAACTTGTTAACTGATCAGCTGGACTGAAGGCATTTATTTTGAACTCAGCTTGTGGTAAGCAGACTTTGTCCCACAAAAGCCATTTATGTTGGAATGCCTTTTTAGTGAGTTCTGCCTATCACATCCCATTTCGCGATCACAATAATCCCTTGTGATGGACTGGCATCACAGTGGAGGACTTCTGAAAAAGAGAAGAAAGGAGGATAGAAAAGTAGCAAATGTTGCAAGGAGCTCTGTTTATGGAGAGAATAAATTTGGAACCCACCAGACTAGTTTAAAGAGGAAGATTCTACACCAAACTAATAGTTCTTATGGAAAAACAAACAAACAAAACAAACAAACAAAAACACAACGAAACAAAACAAAAACAACTCTGAGAGAAGATGCCCTTACAGCAAGAATCAAAAGATAGGAGCTCAGTGAATAGAGTAACTCGTGAACTCTGACCACTTGATCTTGTTTTGCTTTGGTTTCCTCACTGAGAACCAAGATAAAATAGCATAGGAAACCCCATCACATCTATCACAGGACATCTGATGAGTTCTGAAACATATTCTCCCTCACCACCAAAACCATGACCTCAGAAAGCAAAATACCAACAGATCAATCAAAGGGTCTGAGTCCAAGGTCAGCCCCACTGACCCCCCACCTCTTACATATCAGCATTAACTAGATATCATGGAAACTGAGTATGGTATTTGATTAATCTAGGATGCTAATTTAGCTTTAAGCCAATATATCAGTATACATAAAGTGCCCTGAACACTCTGACAGCTGATGCATGTATAATCATCATCATTGTTATTAGTCACGTATTTATTTGTTTGTTTGTTTGTTTTTGTGAAAGGGCACATGAGCTCCCCTGGAAGGGCAGGGTGGAGAAAGCGCCTTGCCCCTCAATGAGAATGATCATGCCTTAATCCCTTGTCCTACAAATTGCCCCTCTTTCGGGATTTTGGACACCCACCAGCACATGCCTGGCCTGTGTTTTGAGCCACCAGGTGTGGGATTCCAAGCACACAGTCGGCCATGTAGGATCCAGCTGCCTTAGTCACCATGCCACGGGCTGGTCCCAGTACTAACTTTCATATACTTAATTATCATGTAATTTGAAGGATATGCAAATTAAAGGCATGCAGGGAGGTTTACAGAGCTTAATTTCGACCAAGTTCAATGAACAGCAATCTTATCTAATATGATACAACTCAACCAATATTTAAGATAGGTGCCAAAAGAATCATCCAATAGCATCAAAGAGTAAGTTCAAAACAGACAAAAAGTAAAGAAACTTTCCCAACAGTTTCAAATGTGAAAGTGACTCCCTGTCCTGAAGGCCACAAGAGTCTTCAGAAGAAAGAAGGCACAAAAAAATCAGGCTGTTTCCTGTTATCCAAGGTCATTTTTTCCTATTCAGATGCACAGAAATAGCATTTGTATCTTAGCTACTCAACAATTGTGTTAACAGGTTAAATTCATCTACTAGATACATTTCTACTTCCAGATTTATGTTTGGCTACAAATAAGATTTTCAAGGTCATTAAAGCAGTACTTCAAAAGGAAGCATTGAGTGAATTTAATAGCTTATTCCTTTCTAAATTATGACTTTCATCTTCCAATGTTCTGCTAGTTCAAACATCACATCATATTAATGTCCTAATATATACAGTTCTGTACACTATATACATTAATATGTTGCTAAAGCTATCTTTATCATACTTTAGAATTCTTTGATCATGCTTCTCATTCAATTAAACAAATATTTATGAACTAAAATGTGGCATCTACCTATTCCTCAAGAAAATTATAGTCCTACCTTCCCCCTACCCCAAATAGAGCCCATTAAGGCATCTATTAAATAAGACCTGGTGGAATGGTATGTTGTTTATCACCCAGGAAATTTTCCTGACTCCAATATTTTTCTAAAATGTATTTATTATTTACCTTTTGTGGGGTACAGACATATTCATCTTCTTCAGTATTTTCAAATTCCATTCTGAATGATTAGTAACCATTCCTTTTGTCCCCCTTTTCAGCATTATGTATTTACATACACTCAGGCAGATTCAGAGAATAATCTTTGAAATTAAACCTGTTATTTTCCAAGGTTAATGACCTGAGAGCTTATAAAAATAACCCATTAAGAGACCAGCAGATGGCAAAGTGGTTGTGCCACAGAACTCTCACATGGCTGACTATGGTTCAAGTTCTGGACCCGGTGGCTTGAAAATCACACTGAGCACGTGTGCATGCATGTGTGCCCGAGATCCCCGGAGAAAAATAGAGGCAAAGAGATTGCGTCATGGCTATCGCCCCTTGGGGATGATTTCTCACTTTTCCTCTTTCTCTGTCTCTCTCTCCCTCTATCCAGTGAGTGCACATGCCCTTAGGCATAAACCTCTAAAATAAATAAATAAAAATAATCCATTAAAAATGTGAGCAATCCTCCTCCTTGATTATTCCGGGACTACTAAAAGTATACATGTAAGAATGAATAATCCACAAAAGACCTCTGCAATCATCATTATTACTTCCCAGAAAAATCCCTTCCTAATGACACAAAACCCAGTTCAACCACTGACTTTGCTCAAACTGCCTTTGGTCAGTAGAGATTCCCTTTGTTCACCCTTATCTAGAACCTTCACTTCAGAAACTATCAGGAAGCCTAAATGTCTGCCTAAGGGAAAGTGCTTAAGCAAATTAGGGTACATCCATATGCTGAAATATTCTACAGCTATTAAAAAGACTGAGACACCTTTTTATATACTTATATGTAAAGATCTCCAGGATGTATTGTTGATTTAAAAAAAAAAAGGCAAGGCACAGAACACTGTGCATATGTAATACATTACCATCTGCTTAAAATATAGAAATAACCATATATTCATAAGTGCATATAACAAATCTGGAAGGAATTGCAGAATGCTAACACAGCGGGACAGCTGTTGAGAAAGGGACAAGGTAGCTGTGGGCTGGAAGGGAAAATCTGACCAAACATTCTTTGCAGTTTTTTGGCCTTTGTGAATGAGTTGCCTGTGTCATAATGTCATAATCACAACCCCCACAACTACCACAATGAAAAAAAAAAAATCACAACAAAAGCTATGCAGAGAAGACAAGAAGAATCTTGTACATAATATGATATTGACATAGAGGTCAAATGAATGAAGATCTAGTTATAATAAAATAACACAAAACTAAACTGCATATGATTCATATTAATGTTAAGAGAAGACTTTCCATACTCACAAAATAAACTTAAAAGCATATAAATTTGTGAGAATACCTTTGGAAACTTAAAAGTAGTTTGCTGACTTGACAGTTTCAGGTCAGCAAATCACAACGATCACCTGTCCTTCTAACTGCACAGACCGTATGGCGGCTCCATCTAACCAATGACACGGGGCACTACTCTACCCAGAACATCAGGATGAAAAAGAGATTGCTTGGGAAGACACTTAAGTGTTTCTACAGAAACACAATCTTACCAACCTCCTAAAATTATGAATTTCCTCCACTCACAGCAAATCACAGAAGAGAGACAAGCTTAAAAAGTGGGAAATAAACTAGAGGCAAGAGGAATATGTGGGGAGGCAGCCTCAGAGGCAAGCACAAGGAGGGGACATGATTTTCATTTACTTCAGTAACGGAGTCAGAACATCCTCTTCATCTCAAGTAAGAGCTGGGATGGGAAGAAAGAGAAGAGGTCTTGAAAGGAACATGCTACACTTGTTTACTATCCCAGGGACATGACACAGGTTGATAGGCTCAAGTGTGAGATAAAAAGGTGAACTGCTAGAAGAACTAAAAGCTAGCCTGTTGATCCATGAGCAAGCAAGAGCTGAAGAAGAAATCCTGCATCTACCTGACACATTTGTTTCCTCTACAAATGCTTTCAGCTACAAAGTGAGCTCTTAGGGCATTTCTCTGTCAACTCTGAAGAACTGGGCAAAACTGTGGCTGGAAAGATCAAGATATCATAGGAAATAGATGGTCTGAAGGGAACAACAGAAATGGGATGAAGTGTGCATGTATGTGTTGACAGAGAAAAAAGAGAAGTGCTCACAGGCTAGCAAATTTGGGGCTTACTACAGGCCAGACATTTTCCAAGTGTTTAATCCTCACAACTCTAAGAAATAAGGAATGTTTTCACCTCTACTTTAGAAATGAGTAAACTGAGGCGCAGGAAAAGAGAAACCAGCTGGTAAGTGGAAGATATCTGAAAATGGGTAGTCCAATACAGAGCTTTAGAAAACATTTGAGGTGAGCAATTTTCCTTTTCCTTTAGCCCTCCTTCTTTTGGGACCTGCGAAGCATCTGTCTCCTTTCTATTAGGGCCTCAAATCCTTCTGTAGA